ATCACTGAAGTTACTCGGAAATAATTTCTACCGGAAATTATCAAACAAGCAGATATGCAACAATATAAACTAATTAGTTATAGTTACATAGACCGAATTTTACATCACTTTTATCAGATAATCCAAAAGAACCTTCCCACAAAAACAAACAAGTAGCAACTGTACTTATTCTTCTTATTTGTCCAGTTTTCACAAAACAAATGGTCGAGAAAGTCGTTAAATTTATTTTGTTCTAAATGCTTTTTTTCTTGTCATTCTATTGAAGTCACACCTGTTTTGCCTGTGAGTGGCATGAATGTGTTGTATACTATATTTTTTATATTTTAAATTAGATTTTTGTTTTCTAGAGGAATATAATCATGATGATGACACTATGATTTACAAATTTCTTGTAGTAAGTACTAACTAAGCAATAATCCAAAAATGACTGATTGAATTAATTTTTCATTGAGTGAAGCAGTGAATCAATGAGATGTTCAATTCAGTGTAGTAGTGAGTTAGATAGTGATGGTTAGTATTGTTACGTCTATGGTCGTTTGTTAATTTCCCGTAAAAATTCTTTCCGAAGAACTTCAGCGATACAAGTCCTTTCTTAAATAAAACTAGTTTATTCTTTCTCAATACAACTTTGCAATACACTTAATTTCCACAGTCACTTTAACTTCAACACACGCTATAATTCACAACGATTCACGCACTTTACTTACGGTCACTACCGCTCACTTGACTCTATTATCTGTCTCTATCTCCATCTATCTGCAATTGTATCTCCACTTTATTTGCCGGGCTTATATACTAAAATAGAGAGCACCTAGAAAAGACTAGAGTTGCCAGGACCAGTCATGATCCTTCTAGAAACTCATCACGTGTTACCAGGGTCACGTGACTTCCGCTGTCGTAACAGTACGTTTGTCTGTGATTAAGTTATTTAGTCAGTGTGATTAGCTAGATAGTGAGGGTTAGTTACGTTTGTCTGTGATTATGTTATTTAGTCAGTGTGATTAGCGAAGAAATTCTGTAATTAAACTTATAACTATGTTAGATGCACATATCATTAGTCTCGGAGTTTCTGTTGAAATGTTGTTTGTGAAATTAGTCTTACAAGTTAACGTAGTTTGTACTGTAACAAACGTTTTTGAAAAAAAAATCATTATCGTTACGTTGACTAGAACTGTCATTTTTTGCACCAAATAATCAAAGATAACCCACCCAATGATAGGAAACATTATAACAGCTGTAGTGTTTGTGTTGTACAAGAAGATTTAAGGCTAGTGTCCTTCATTACTAGTTCAGGAGGTATCTTGAAGTTAAGTTTTCCTTTATATCTAAATGATAATGACCAGTCACGTGGTTACACAATAGTCATTCAAGACAAATCCAATGTTACCTGCAAAGTAAGGAGTGTTGAATTTAAATAGTCTGGTATAAGAATGTGGCCTGACCTGTTGAATATAAGACAGTTAATAGATTTAAACGTTTTGTGTTTAATAACAGAAAGTACACACACTGTGTGTTGAATAGAGATTTTTCATTTTATGTATTACTTTGTGTTTAGTGCCTTTCTTTCTGAAACTCAGTTTTTCAGAGATTCGTTCTCACCTCGTGATAAATATCTTGTCGAACCTCTTTTGCTCTAAATTTAATTCAGCTCGACCTGAATATATCATACTCTTATCCTTCTTCTTTCAAGAGAAAATAAATTAAAATACTGTTACGTCTCCGTTTGTTAATTAACTTTCCGTAACTTTGTTCCAACGAAACTTTAACGACACAAGTCTTTACTTAATAAAACTGGTTTATTCTTTCCGAATACAACTTTACCGATACACTTATTCTCAACAGTCGCGTTATAACAAGCTATAATAACGAACGAACGTTAACTACAACAATACGTCTCTCTCTCACTGCAGTTCAATTACTCACTATCTATACACACATTACCTTACCTC